CTACAAAAAAAGGCCCTGGGTTTTGACAACAAACAAGGTAAACAGAATAACAAGCAAAAGGTGGGTGTGGCTGGATAACCACACTTCTGGTAACATGTGGGTGTGGCCTAATGTGCTAATGAGCTGTGCTGTCAGGGGTGTGGCCCAATATGCTAATGAGGTCCTGCTGTTGGGTGTGGCCTATTATTCTAATGAGTTCTTGCTGGGCTTTTTCTACAAAAAGAGTCCTGCCTGTATCTAATGCCCTGATCTGGATGGCCCAAACCTAGCCCAGTCTTGTCTGATTCTCAGAAGCTAAGCAGAATTGACCCAGATTAGTATTTGGACAGGAGACCACCGAGGAAGTCCAGGGTCGCTACGCAGAGGCGGACAATGACAAGTCACCTCTGAATGTCCCTTGCCTGGAAAATCCTATGGGATCGCCATAAGTCAGAGGTGTCTTGAAGTTATTTCCCACCACCACTACTAGGTACCACCATGAAATGGCTGCTGGGGAGGTTCAGCCAACCACAGATTGGCTATCATGGAAGCTGAAGCCAGCCACAACATGGGTTGCAAGCCAAGCATCCTCCTACGATAGAAGCAGTTCTTTCCATTATGGTGCTCACTGAAGACACTGAAGGTGATGAGAGGAAAGCCAAGACTGGCTGTTTGCCTTGGGAAAGAAGGAAGAGGGTGTCAGGAAACGTACTGGTAAGTATGAAGATCGGGGCTTTATAGGCTGTTTAAGAAAAGGTATTTGTGCTGCATAGTATGACTAGAGCGGTCTCTACCCTAGCCTTCTACTGACAAACTGAATGAAAATGGCCTTCTAAATTTAGCCATTCCCTATAAGACATCAGGGAGACAGGATAAAAAATCCAGTAACTTTTATTCACTACCAGGGTAGGGGAAATAAGCCTCATTAGTGAGGCTTAAAACTATTTACGATTAACACACCGCTTTTGCTGTGTACGTTAGGTTATAACATTTCAGATACCAACTCTTGTGTGCGTAGAACAAGTTAACAGCCAAGCTTTTATTCTTGAGGTGAACAGTCACCTTCCCTCATCCCCTCTCAGTGTAAATGTGAGCACCTCTCAGAAACCGCAACCCCTCGGAAACGGGGCTCTGAAACAGCTTCAGGCTCTTCCTCAAGCATTCACTATGCTAACCTGCTTCATCATAAAAGACGGACTCTGAGACTTCCAAAGTCTCCTGAGAAAGGATTATCAGCTTATTCCACGGCAAGCCCAAATCCGGTCTCCAAACATTCACTGGTTTAGATTGCTTACACAGAAGGCAAACTCTGAGACAGGATCCCTTTGGTCTCTCTCACGCCAGATCCCACCTGACTGGTGACTGAAAGTGGCAGCAGGACTTCTGCCCATCTGTCATAAGAACATAAGACAAGCCATGTTGGATCAGGCCGATGGCCCATCCAGTCCATAATTCTGTGTCACACAGTGGCCAAAAACCAGATACCATCAGGAGGACCACCAGCAGGGCCAGAATTCCAGAAGCCCTCGCTCTGTTGCTCCCCCTCAAGCACCAAGAATACAAAGCATCACTCTCCCAGACAGTGTGTTCCATCTACACCTCGTGGCTAATAGTCATAGTAGGCACCGGCAGAGATGTAGTGTGGAAAACATTCCCTCTGTAAAAAATTCATTTTTTTCATAAAAATTGATGCCATTGCCAATACAGTATTAAGCAAGCCTGGTAGTTTCAAAGTTTTAAGTAATGTCGGGTGCTTGATCACCTCAGGGAATTGTGAAAGCTGTTTTATTGATTTGCAAACCAGGGGTGGGGGAATAAAACCACAAATAGATATAATAACCCCAATAAGTTATGAATTAACCTGATCTGCTGTCCAGGTCAAATAAAAACCAAAGGCAAGTTTCTTATTCATGTGTGTCCAGCCTCTCACATGGTGGAAAGGGATATTGTCATCATCAGTCAGATATGGAACTAACAAGTCATGCAAGTGGTGAAGTGCCTCAGTAACTTCTGTGGATGAGTGTTGAACTCTGTTGACATAGATGAGCATCCCGGGCATATCATGCGCAGTTTTAGGGATGCACTGAAATTAACTGTTTCTATTCTGAAATTTAAATAATGTAAAGGAGATATATGTCTTTAATTTTTTAAAAAGCATTACTGCAATAAAAATACTTTGCGCATAAAGGTTTGGGTACAGCACAAAGACCAGGAGAGGTCTGTACAAGGATCCCTGGTCTTCCGGGCTTTCCCTTCCCCCAGCAGCAGTTTCTGACCCCAGGAAAATTTATTGCTGCTCATGGGACCCAGTGGAATAACAGCCATGAAGGCTGGGTGAGGAGGAGGGTGAAATCACCCCCTTCTTCCTCTTCTTTCAGCTGACCTTCTGCTCATAGAACAGGAGAATTTTCAAGAAAATTGCCCTGTTCTAATTTTTCTGGAAAACCCACATCACTTAGATGCCGTATTGGGGATCACTGCCCTAAGACATATTTAAAACAGCTAACAATACTGTGAAACAATACACAACCAATACATTAAATATCACCTGGCTCACAATTATACATAAAAAGAGACACCGTCATAAAATCTGCCCCATCTCCGAACGTACAAATAAAGCAAAGCAAAACAGAACATGTCCACAGCAACAACCTCTTGTAAATATGCCAGTATGCCATAACAAAGCAGATTACGGATTCAGGTGGGTGGCGATGTTGGTCTAAAGCAGCAGAAGAAAGTTTGAGTCCAGTGGCACCTTTAAGACCAACAAAGTTTTATTCTGGGTGTACAATTGTGTGTGCATGGACGTGTGCTTGCACACAAAAGTTTATACCCAGACTAAAACGTTGTTGGTCTTAAAGGTGCCACTGGATTCCAACTTTGTTTGAAAGCAGATTATAGATGCTTTGACCAATTTCTTTTAACGGGAGGTGATATGGCAGTGCCCTCAGCTTAGAGACAGCTTCCTCCTGCTTATGCATCGAGCAGCATGTCGACGAAACAATCTCACCATTCAGAAGCTTTCATCAATGCCAGATTTTTATTACCTATAGGGAGACCAGCATAAAAAGCAAAAGCTAACTGAAATTTAAGAACCTTCACTTGGAGCCTAAAGGCTAACAAAGACGGCCACCAGGTCCAGAATCTCAAGCAGGTAACTCACTGACTGTCGCAGAGCAACTTTTGAAGACCCAGGAAAAGATCATGAGAAGATCTACTCTATACTTAAAAAAAACAAGAAGACCATGGAAGACCATGGAATATTTTAATTACTCAGAAGTAGCTCTTATTAACTATTTTGAAGACCCAGGAAAAGATCATGAGAAGATCTGCTCTACACTTTTTTTAAAAAAAACCTTTTAATTCATAGGATTTTTCTCTGCACAGTTTAGCTGATAGCTTTATTTACAATGCTGTTTCTTGCTCATGTTCTGTTTTTAAAACAGAATTTGGTGACGTTCAGCGGGGGGGGGGGAGGGGAAGACCATGGGATATTTTAATTACCCAGAAGGAGCTCTCATTAACTACGGTGGTCTGGTGAATTTCTTGGGGAAGACAGTTGTACGGTCACCCCCGTGAAAGCCCTTCCCCAGGTAATCGCCTGCCTCCACCCAGCAGGTGAGGGCTTCCAGGGCAGAGCTCCCAGCAAAGGTCTTGTTTCATGACCCGTCGTCCTTGGAAGCAGGGCGTCCCTCAGACACCCCAGTCCCAAACCATAACATAGTATGCTTTTAATTTTGGAGAACAGCAAAATTAAGCTGACCCATACCAATCAGTTCCAACGTTAATGTTTAAGGGCCTTGACAACAAGTTTTTAGTTTCCCTTTGCTTCAGATAGACAATTCTCCGTGACCCCAACCTAAAACGGGTAGGAGACCCTCATGTGTTGTTGCAGTGGCAGGAGAGCTACTTCACTGTTGTTCCAGTAATATAAGACCGACATGGGTGGGACTTTGCCACCAAATCGTCTGCCCAATGCATTGTTTCCATGGGTTGGATCCTATGACTCCCTCCATTAAAAAAAGACTTTTCTTCCTTGAAGGAAGCCCTTCTCCATCAGAAAGCCATTCTTCTTGGAGGAAGTCTTTTCTCCCTTGAAGGAGGAGTTAGCAGAAGAGAGTTATAGGATACAGCTTAATGGGAGGGAGCCATAGGGTTGGATCCAGCCTGCTTTTTCACTCAGTATTGCTCAGTTCTGCTCCCTACTGCAGCCCCTGCCCCATGGGGCTTTTGTACGTTCATGTCCCATGATTCTCAGCATAGCTGTTTTGGATGGTCAAAGAGAACCACTCCTTTTTTTCCCGGCAACAGAAAAAGCTGGCTGGATCCAACCCGCAACATCCGTACCTGTCTCCCTGGACCTTTTCTGGTTTATTTGGGTTACTAGAAATAAGGCCCGTTGTGGAAATAAATACAACGGGATCTAGAAAGAGGCTCTGGGAGAGTGCTCTGGCTTTGGGCAAACAGTGTCAGTCTGCTTTTAAAACATGAACCTGGGACCTGCACACCACCACAATACAGCAGGTTCCATATGCAACTGACATTCCAACTGCCTTGCGGGGGGGGGAGTTTGAGGTGTGGAATGGAGTGAAGTCCAATCAGCTTCCATATGCTATGGCTGACATTCTCGGAACAAAAAATGAAATGACAAAACTAATACGAAAATATGTAGGGCTAGTTCACGCACGCTTGTACCTCTCTTGGTTTTTCAGTGCTTGCAGACTCCCAGACAAATGCGTCAGTTGTTTCCAGTGAAAAGTATTGTGCCGGACTGGAGATCATGTTATAGCTCAGTTGCATATCCCAGTCATCGGGCTAATGTTGTGATAAGCGATCGGCATTCATGTATGAACCAGCCCTTAGAAAAAGCACAATGTAAATTACTCAGTAGGCAAAACGCGGCACATTATCTCCATAATCCTTACAACAGCCCTGTATTATTTGCCTCCTGTTACAGACACGGAGGCTGAAGCTGATGGAGAGACGCTTGCCCAGGGCCAGAGCACTGGCATGCCAGCAATGCAGTTCTAAGTGGAGTCACAGCCTTCTACCTCCATTGAAGTCAATGGGTTTAGAAGGATATAAATGGTGAAGTTGATGGGTTTAGAAGGAGGGCACTGGAAGTGATTGTATCCAAACCCAGGTGCACTACCCCTCCGTAGGTGATCACTGTCAGCATTTACCCAGGGTAACACAGAGAAAGGAACAATGATGGCAAAAAGCCTGCGGTACAAATGCAAAGTTATCCTGAATACAGGAAACCAACCCTTAAGATACGAAGAAAAAGACATTTTGCTTTCTCACTGCCAACCCACCACACTAGATTTCCAGGTGTCGAAAATAGTACATTGACTGCTTCTTATTGAAAAATACTTCCTAGTTCTTAGTTGCTGATCTATGTTTCTCAAATTCCAGGTTATCCTAACTTGACGGCTTCTTGATGGGGGACAGCAAGGAGCTGAGTTGTGCGCAAGACCACAGACCACTATAAAACCCCTGGAGGAATATAAAAAAAATGACTCACAGACAAGCCCAGCACTGGGTTAAGTATTGGGACAAATAAATTCTCTGTAAAGAAGTTGGGCACTTAAGACCGTGGTTTCTGTGTACTTTTCAGGGTCTTATGAAAGAATCAGTTTATGGTGCGACAAATGACTGCTTCCCTCAAAAAAGAAGTGCTTCTGAGCTTAGATACTGCATTCCCTTTTACTCACACCACAAGAGTGTCACTGAGACAGGTTTGCCCATATCCAGGTGGGGCCTGGGGACCTTCAGGAATTGCAACTGGTCTTCTCCAGACCAGTGTTTATTTTATTTATTTTATTTATTTATTTAGATTTATATCCCGCCCTCCCCGAAGGCTCAGGGCGGCTAACAGAGGCATAACGCCACGTAATAACAATAAAACAGTAAAATACTGACTAAAAATACAGAATAAACAATTAAATAATTAAACAGAGTTCATAAAAACATTTTCTGTGCTCCCCTACTCACTTCCAAATGTTAAAGTCAAGATGGTGTTCTTGATGATATGGCTACCTAAAAGTGCATATCCCCACTGTTGTCCCCTAGGCACGTCCCACTCCCTCTGATGGTACCCGCACCAGCGGTGGCAATGTGCGGAAATTATAGGGCGTTGATGGAACAGTGGTGGCAGCGGCTCCTATTCAAAAGCCTGGCGGAAGAGCTCCGTTTTACAGGCCCTGTGGAACTGTACAAGGTCCCGCAGGGCCCAGATCTCCTCTGGGAGCTCATTCCACCAGATAAGAGCC